GGCTCCTGGTTCCCTTCAAAGACTCCCCTTCTCATTACCTACATATAAGTCATACATCACACTGGTCTCCTATCCACTGCACCCTCCCCCCCCACCCCAACACACTGAGGTCATTCTTGTCTCAGAGCCTCTAGAAGGCTTCTGCTCATGCAGGTCTCATTAGAAATGCATCTCTATTTCAAAAAGCTTCTCCCTGACACACATGTGCACGCACACACGCGCACACACACACACACACACACACACACACACACACACACACCTCAAATTACCTCTCAAGCCTAAAACCCTACTTTAGTTTCTTTAGACCTACTCATTGCTATTGGAATATTTTTATTTATTTTTTCCATTGTATATCTATTTATTTATATAAATACATATTATTTCTAAAATATATATTTATAAATTTATATATAGATTTAAATTTAAATATCTAACACATATATCTCCACTGGAATATAAGTTTGATGAAAACAGGGATGTTGTCTTGTTTACAACTATAGTTCCCATCCTCAGAAATTTCCCGGTAGACTATAGGTGGTCAAATGCATTTGCTGAATGAATGAAAATGCCAACTTCAGCACTCAGCATGAAGAGAAGGTGCTCAAGGAATGCTAGCTTCTATTTTACCTTCCTTCTTTCTTCATCATGCTTGAGAAATTGTAACATGCCCTTGAAATTAAAGCTCAAATTTCTTTCAGTGTTCGCACAACAACACTGGTATTCCACATGTATGAACTGGTCTGAGAGGCAATGCCAGCCACTTGCAGTCTGAGACAGACAGGAAATGAGTAAGAAGCCAGAGTGGAAAGCTGTGGTGTCTGTCTAGTCCTACCTGAATGGGATACTAATTCCAAGGCTTTGTTTTTCTACATGATTTTGGATTCTCAGATTATCAGTTGCCTCCGTAATCAAAAGAAATCCTTCCCAGAATAAAATGCAAATGGTTCTTAAAGGATCTCCTGCTTGGGATTAGCTGCCTTGCACTCTATCGCCATGCATGTTTCGAAGTTGGCTGCAAATGCAAACTTAGAGATAAGTACAAAACACAATTAACAGCTCACTTTTCCTCTGGCTACACACCCTGCGTCACACAGATAGCAGAACTACTGGCACAGTATTTCTCATAGCTGATGCACATGGACAATTTTTGCTCCTAATGTGAGTATATGACAGCCTGCTGGGACCTGTGAATGTCTGAGTGGGTAGTTTAGCATGTACACGCATATGTGCAAATAAAATCTGTATTTTTCAAATTAAAAATAAACCTCAAAGGCAGTGGACTCCACACTGTTAACAAAATCGAGAAAGGACAGAAGGGTGTGTCAAACTGAGTGCTGCTTGGAATAAATATGAGAGTTGGTTCCAGTCGTCTCCAATTTCATCTTTGCTGCACTGCTCTTCCTGTTTTACAAATCAGAGATTCTTGTCTTGAAAAAGAAAATGACAAAATAGACATTCATTCTCTGAAGATGAAATTAGTGCTTTTCTCATTCACCAGATTGTGGACAGGAATTGAAAAGAAGCATAGAAGAGAATGATTAAAAAAATTAGAAGGGGACTTGAGTTAGGGAAAGAGGTTCTATTCATATTTTGGAAGTTAAAGAAAACCCTACCATCCTGTTAGTACCCAGAAGGCACTGCACCATTTGCTATGTACCGTCTCCTTCATTGCAAAAAGACACAGATTGCATTTTCAGTGCAGTAAACAGCAGATTCTTATAGTGTGAGAATCCTTACAGTGGTAACTACAGCTACCTCATTTAAAATGTTACAAAGCTAGGAAACATCAGGAGCTTAAGACAGTCAGTCACATACACCTGCCTATGTACATTCAGTCACTCACACACATGCTCATGCTTGTCCACACACTGAAAGTTATTGGTATGTAACATTATAATACCTGCTGGAGTTTTACTATTGAATCATGTTTCACAGCCAAGACAGAGAGTTAAGTAAAAAGATATACAGCATTACAATAGCAGCAGAAGGTTGTTTGTGCCTAAACAGTGTATTTACAGCACGTGTTAAGTACCGCATAAGAGTGCATCAAAAGGACATTACTATTCACATACAGAGTTTAATTGACATTTTAGAGCTTCTGTTTATAAAGGACTTTTTCAATGCCACACCCATGTTTTTCGCACTCACATTCAAACCCCAAAGACTGCTACTTCAAACATCAACTACTCCTTTCTGAGAAAGGTTTTCCTGGGCCACAGGAAAGAGCACACTTGGCCTATGTGTGGGAAAATCCAAAAGGCTGGAGAGTTACTGCTCCCAGAAGCATCCCTCAGTCAATGATGAGTTGGGATTTGAAGTGGAAATACCTTAGCTTCTTCATAGTTTAGTTAGGATAATTTTGGGTCATGTTTCCATGGTCTCTGTGGTCCCCCTGCCATACTTGAGCTTTAAGGGTCCACAGTGGTAACCAGTTTGATAAACACCCTTTACTGGCTTCATCCTTTTCCCAGTTTTACCTCCCCACTTCTCTCCTTCCCTGAGCTCAGCCCCCAACATAAACTTCTTGGATTCTAAGCCTTGTATCGGGGTCTGCCCCTGCGGTAGCCCAAGCTAGACACTATCTTCAGTCCTTATTCTTTTTTGAAATGTAATTGTCATTAAATACTCTGGGACACATATCCCTTGTTACTGATTCTACAGAAATGGGACCCTCACCAAAAACCACAGGTTTAGAAAAGCCTCACAGTCATTTGTGTACTCAAAGTATGAGGAGGTTTTCTTGGTGGGGTAAACACCTAAACAGTGGAATAATGCTACAAGCTATAGAGTAGCCTACAAAGAAAGCTGTTGGAACAGATCTAGTGGCAAATGGGAAAGTAGCTGTTTGTCTTTTTTTCTTTTATGGCTCTGCATGTATTTTCTCAGTGTTTCCCTGAATTTTATTCTGTGCAAAAATGTATTAGCTGGTTATATTCAACAGATATAACCAATAGGTCAAAATGAGTATTTACACAGCATGTTATGTTCCATGTGCTCAGCACTGACTTTTTAAAACCTATGCTGTAGTCCCCGGAGCTTTTCACTCTGTTGCAAAAATAATCCTTCAATGAGAAAAAACCTGAGAAATATGAAAAAGTAGTGAAGCATGAAATTGGATGGTAATTAAAAGACTTGTGTAGAAACTTTCTAAATGTCAAATGCTATAACCAGCAGTTGTTCAAATGGAAAATGGTTGAAACAAGTAAAAAGATAAGCAGTAAAGTCTTGGTTTCAGGATTCCATATTATAGATAAATCCTTAAACCCACGACCTCAATTTCTTGCCATGTTGAATAGTTTGGGGCAAAGAGCATTAGTATTCTCCTTGGTTATCAATAATTAATTCACTTGATCAGCCTATCAACTAATATTCGTTAAGCATTTCCCAAATACATAGCAGTGAAAGTACAAAATTCTTGTCCTCATCAAGTTTTCATTCTAAAAGGGCAAGCAGTAAATCAACAAGTCAACAAGGACATTTATAACATGATTTCAAGTCATGGGACTGTGACAAAAAATAAAGCTGGCATAGTAGGCCTAGAGAATAATAGAAGAGTAATTATTTTAAGTAGGGTGGCTTCTCTGAGGAGTTATCATTTGAATAGAAGGAGCCAACTCAGAAGTGAGAATAGGAGATTTCAGGCAGAGGAAATAGGCAATGCAAAGGTCCTGAGGTGGAAAAAGATTTATCATGTTAAAGGAAAAATAAGACCATGATAAGAAAGTAAAAAGGGTATCACAGGACATAAAGTGAGAGGTAGGCAGTGACCAGATGGTGCAAGACTTACAGGCTTGTAGTTTGGATTTCATTCTGAGGGGAATGGAAGGACATTGGAAAGGTGAAGAGATCACACTGGCTATCATGTAAAAAAATAGATTATAGGTTACAGGAGTGGAAGAAAGACCAGCTAAGAGGCTAACCCCTTGTCAGGTGACAGATGGTAACAGTTAGAAGTGAGACAGTGTGGGTTAGGAAAAAAAATAAAAAAAGATTACTTCTAGACTTTTTATTTAAATAACCTCATGAATGACAGTACCAGTTAGCAGGTGCAAGAAGCAGGTTGTGGATTTAGCAGGAGATAAGAATCCCACTGGGGGCATATTCTTTGTAGTGGAGTCAGCCAGGTATATTGGACCAAAATTCAGGTTCATGTTTGCACTGGAGATGTAAATTGGAAGTCATAGGCAATAAATGGTATTTCAACCTCGAACTTGAGAGCAAAACTCCAGAGAGATGAAAATAAATCTTAGGACATTTCCCTGAGACTTTCATACATTCAGAGCTTAAAAAGGGAAAGGGAGACTAGGGCAACCTGAGAAGAATCAGCCATGAAGTAAGGAGAAAGCCAGGACAGTTCTTTAGGTTTACCTGCAGTAGTTCCCCTCTGAACTCAAACAGAAACTCAGAATCTTACTGTTTGTGGAACTAGAGGGATATGATCTCTCCAGGGGTCCAGCTATAAACACTGACAGCTCCATGGGCTTTGGTTGTATAAGCAAGAGGAAAAGGAAGGATCTTTTGATCAAAACCCATCAGGGACAATTAGAAGGTGGAGAAAAGGAAGCATCTACTCCACCAGCCTCTGCAGAGTGAGAACTTTCAGTCCTGGTGGAAGAGAAAGGTAGATGCCGAAGCCAGAACTGCTGGTTCCGTGGCAGACACTGCAACGCTGAGCACCAAGAGCTGCTTCCAGCCGGAGAACCAAGCTAGTGAGAGGACTGTTCTCCTCACCTGTACTCATCTGTACTTCTGTGCAATCTGTACTTTTGACACAGACACAGGCAATCTCATGGAGGGCACAAGCATGATGTCCTGACATCTCTTAGTCACTCAACATTCCTGTGATACGGCGAGCGGAGCAGCATGTTAGCACAGACCCAACCCTAGAACTCAGCTCCTCTCCAGGATATTTTGTTTCCACTTGACAACGCAGCCACATCAGCTCCCTCACCTGCCTCCTCCCTCTACTGGAGGCACCAAATTTAAATAAAACCAACCTGTGTTGTAGAAGGATCCAGTCCATTCGGCCTCAATTTTAGGAAATACAGAAACTGGTGAAGGCAGACCCAGAGCTCTCCCATCCAGATCTTTAAAGAGGTATTTTCTTGGACTTTCACAATCTGATTGAGGGCAGACAAGTATTTCTAAATCTTTCCTGTGAAGACAGACAGAAAGCAACTCTCTCATATCATGAAAAGTGGCAAGAAGAAAACACCTCTCGGTAGTGCCGATCTTATGAATATAAATCAACAGGAGTTTATTATTAATAATGTGATATATAGATGTGAAATAAGACTCCATATAAAATGTTATTTCTCAGTTATATGGTCAAGAATAAAGACATTCTTACTAACCAGATATTCCAGAAGTATAATATTTATATAGATTTCTAATTTTATAAAGAGCAAGATTTAATAAAATGCTCCTAACTCTAATATCTTCTGAGCACAGTATAATCATTTCTTTATGGAACTTTGGGGCTTTGTAGTATTTTAAGATGATCAGTATAACTATCAATTATATTTGTGCTATAGACAAACAAGGTAAAATTAGATATTCCTAGTCAATAAATACTTATTGGAAACCTAAAACTTACATGTTGGGGAACACAATGGTCACAAAGATAACCATGGTTCTTATACTTTCAGAATTTAGTCGAGTGGGGTATATAAACAAGTTATAGGCATTTATAGCATTGAATCACAGAGAATTTATTGATGTACCCTAATCTAATATTTTCAGGTACCATTAGTAATAATAATATTATATATTTATTGCATACCAACCATGAATCAGGCATTAATAGCACAAAAATAAAATGCTAATATCATTTAGCTTTGTAACTATTTCATCTCATAGGTAAGATATGAGCATAGGGAAACTGAACCATAGAAGAAAAATGACACAAATGTCATGCCTGATAATGTTTAGATACCAGAAATGGCTCAGGGTTAGGCATTCAAAGACATCGGTGGTGGGCCAAACACACAAAATTTCTGATTAGGGTGATTTTCTTGATTCTTTCCTTCCAACTAAAGGAGTTTTCCCCAGTGTTGTGGGAAATAAAAAGTAACCCATTCTCCCTGCTTCTAATTTCCCCACTCCCTTTTATGGAAAAAAGAATTCCTCATCTATTTTCAGATCCTTAACTAAAACTGTCAGGTCATATGTTCAAGAACGGTAGTTACACCTGTTCTCATATCTGTACATATAGAGTCAATATCTATCCAAGCCACATCGTTCAGTTCATGGATTCCCGATGGCAGACACTGTCTCCTGCTACCTCCCAATCCCTGCACAGGGCTCTCAAGCCTCCTTCTGAAGACTAGTTACACCATACTCCATGGAAGATTCAAAAATTAGAGTGAATGTTTTACCAGGAATTTGAAAAACACCCCAGAGGAGCATCTCTAATGAAGACAAAACAATAAGACAACATCAATAAAACTCATACTCCATCACTTTTGCCCCTTTTGTTATCCAAAGAATGTCACAGGGCTGAGTCCAGATTCAAGGCAGAGAGAAATAGCTTCTGCCTCTTTAGTGGGAAAGATTGCAAAAATCACGTAACAATAGGCATGAAGAGAGGAGGGGAAAAGACTTGGGGCCACTCAATCTATCTACCATACCTTTCCAGAAAGAATTATTTCTATTCCCTTTGATAATTTTATCCTTTTTTAAAACATGTTTAAGGATTTCAAAGATTGTCAAACACTTCATAAATGTTGCTTATTATAGATACAAAAACTGGTACCTGGTTTGTAAAGGAGGAAAGTAGAACTTGTTTTTATCCTTGATCCTTAGCATCCTGGTCCTCTCTGCTATTATTGGGTGCACGATTCCGCTGTTCTCTGCACTGGGCAGGATGCAGACATCTAGGTCATTGCTATAGCAACTCTTAACAAAACTAGAAAAGGTAACATCTGAAAAAGCATTTTTAAGATAACATGACATTAGATCATGTAAATTACCAATCACAAATACAGGCTGCACACTGAATATTCCTATACTAATGTATTTCCAGGAATAAGCTTAAGCTGTCCAAGGTAGTTCCAGGAGGTTACATAAATCTTGACAAAGTATCTTTAATTATTCAATACATTCCAATACATTAAAGCTTTAAGAGCAATAGTTTCTATCAAAGTTTTGATGAAAAGTCCGTGAGGGGTGAGTACACTAGTACAAAAGAAATCTGAAGAAGATTAACTGAATAGGTTGTGGTATAAGTTTGATTTTAATCCTGCTGCTCTACCAAGTACTAAACAGCTTCAGTGAGGAATAATTTCTGCATCTCAATTTCCACCTTTGTATAAATAAGGAAAATGATACTTTCCTAAGTGTCATATAGTCAAATTAAATAATTGGTGTGAAGGCACTTCAACGTGTATAAAACAATGACTTTTTATAGGAATCACTCACTGATTGATAATCACCTTTGTGGTTATCAATACCCAGCAGGCTGCCAATTGGACAGCAAGCACTAGCCTACATTGTATCCTTTGGTTGATACAATTTCAGAAGGCTATTAAAGATTCCATGCACAGTTGCATGAAACTACGTTGTTTGGAAACTCAAACATCCTACCTTGAAGTTTCATGATTCCTGAAATTACATGGCCATTCCTCACTTTGTGCCATGGCTCCTGAGGCCACTGATTTGGTTCTGTGGTGAAAATAGGCCACAAAATACCAACTCGACCCCCTCTTGGATTGGAAGGAGCTCGATCTTTTGAAGTTAAGTTGGCAGAGCAAGGTTTAACTCTGTCCTGAATGCAGTCAAAAGTGGAGCTCGTGGCCACAATGACTGAATTCCTAAGCACAATCTGTACATTTTCAACGTAATTCTGTGGCGCAGAGGATACATACACTACAGCCAACAGACCAACAGCATTGTCTACTAGAGTGACGTTCTCGATCTCCACACTGCTCTCCACATGTAGCATGGCACCGTAGTCAAAGTTCTTGAAGGCCAAGAAGCCAGAGATACTGGTACAGTTCTCAAGTCCACTTTCTTTGTAGAGATGGAGACCATGAAGGCTTGAGTGGGCCACATTGTCAGACCAAAGAGCTGCAGGGGAGGAACACCGGTGGCCTCGGATGTGGAAGCCAAGTCTCTCCGATCCCGCCACAACGTTGCCGTAGAGGCTGATGTCCTTTGCCTGGTTCACTTTGATTCCCGCCACCCAAACATTGGACCACGCTGACTGTGTCATCAGAATTACAAGGTTATTAGAGAGAGAATAGTCCTGACCCTCCAAATCAAGGCCATGCCCAACTGTGTCAAACACGATGTTGTCATTTAAAATGATCCCATGACTGGCAGCTGCATGAATGCCCCCACCGCAGCTTTGGTGCACAGTAGAAGACAGTATCCAGGACCCTGCCGATGCATTAGTGAATTCAATGGAGGAAGACCGTGGTGACCCAAAGTTCTGAATTTCCACATTGAAAAGTTGAAGCACACCTACAAACAAAATGCACATCATCAGTACTTTCTTCTCTCTTACAAAAGGCAGAAGGATGGTGCATTTAAGGGCATCATTAACATGTGATCATTTATTCCCAGTACCAGAATTCTATTTCATGCCATTGAATCTTACTAACAAAATGTGAATCATTAGAAATATCATATTACAACCTGCAAAGGTTTCATGTGCAGTCTGACGAGTCTGGTGATAGAATGGGGAGGGAGAAAGAAGAGTAGGGGAAAGAGCTAGGCTTGGGAGATGGGCACAGCTAGCGTAAAGATGCTATGCATTTGTCTGCAGGGCTGGGTCAGCGAACTAGATAAGAATGAAGAGCATGTAGGTTCCTGCCGCTCAACCTCAAAGGCATGCCTACTTTCAGTGACCCAGTGTGCAAAGGCCATAGCCATCCCCACAAAAATAGTACATGAATGCATATAATAGTCAATTGTATCAAACATTTCAAGTATTTCTTAAGAGTATAAGTACCAAATTTACCTGTGCTCAATTTATGCCCAGAAACATAATACATGCTTCTTGATTAAGACATGATAGAGGCAATAACATACTTTACATCATTTTAAAGACCCTGTAAAGTATTTTCTGTATTCTTATCCTAGCCACACTATAATTCCTTTTTTCTTTTCACAGTAAGATTTTCTACTTCTTTTGTGTCAGGAGAAGATTGTGAATTATTTAGTGTGATTGGAAATTTTATTTGTACTGTTTTAAGTAGATATTGTTAAAAATACAATATAAAATATAGCCATTAGGTTGATTTAAAAAATGAAATGAGCACTAATGTGTCAGCATATATACTCTTGGTAAATAGATAATAACATGATTAGAGGGAAGAAATGGGTCAATTAATAACTACAATGCTTAAGTCTTACATAGTACTCATTATGTATCAGGCACACACATATATTACATGTGAATGTATGTATATATATATATAGTTAAGGAACATGCCAGGACTTAGATCAGTCACATGGACGACGCAGATGTGCTATTAACCTCCCTGCTGGCACTTGGGAGAGTGGGAGATGTACTAGGAGAAAACAGCAGCTTTGCACTGGAATTCAGGTGATTGGGCAATAACTATGAGCCAATAATGAGTCATGTGCCCTCATCTCGGAAGATCAGACTTACCCCTCACTTCTTTTCCTTTTTTCTGTTTTTTTTAAGGCACTGCCAAAGGTAAATTATAAAGTCATTTCTCTCATGAAAACTGGAGGGAGCTATCATGTCTCGGTAATAGTGTTTAGAACTCAAATGCAGTCCAGCCTACATCCTCCACCTTCCCTACTCCCTTTTCACAGATGAAAAAACCAGAAGAACCCTCGCGATCAGCTGTCATGAAGAGCCAAGCCACTGTCTGAAGGGCAGATGGAGTGAAAGACCATGTATGTCTTCACAGCCACGCAACAGGATCCCAATGTATCTAAGTTTTTCAAATGACACTGATTAAGGAGGTACTGGTAGATGGTATAGAAATAGTCACAGAATGATAAAATATCCCAAAACTATTTGTCTGGTGATAACATTACTGATATAATTTAGAGGGTCCCTCACCAACAGCACATCGCTGAAAGGGCTGTCAAACCTGTCTCTGTTGAACTTTGGCACCGAGGCTATCAAATGCTGGTGTGAGTCCTCATACATAGCTAATTTTGTAGAATGGAGAGTGGGTCTAGAATCTCAGTGAAAGCAGTATGTCAGCATTATTTTAATTAGTCTTTATACATCTTAGGTTTACATGGTTGTAATTCACACTTTTAAACTGTACAAGATCTTTTTACTTGCGTGCATATTGTATATTAACCAATGACTGAAAACTAATCAATAACAAATACTTAAAACCTCTTGAGCATTTAAATTAAGAATTTAGCAATGACTTCTTCGTAGCTATTTTCCTATTTTTCTTTTCAAAAATCACAGCCCTGAATACAACTTGCTGGATGTTAGTGATTAGAAGGAAGATAATGACAGAGGCCTCTGATTTACAAGTAAGAATTAGAAGTCCTGGCCTGCTATTCTGACCTATAATTTTTCAATACCCGTAGCTGTCACCCTTGACCTACTTCTGGCTCTGGAGTTGTATAGAAAAATCCAAGTGTTCTTAATAAGGTGTGGGAGCTGGACTGGATTCTGGAACAGAGAAGGGACATTAGTGGAAAAACTGATAGATTCTGAATGATGTCTTGAGGTCAGTTAATAGTAATACACCCATGTTCATGCTTTGGTTTTGATGAATGTATTAGAATTACATCAGATATTAACAGCAGGGAAACTGGGTGAGAGGTACACAGGGACTCTCCATAGGATCTCTGCAACTTTTCCATACATCTCAAATGCTTACAAAATTAAAAGTTTATTTAACAAGGGCTCCAGAATCAGGTTTGAATTTGAGTATTATGCCCTCCACTTCCCAGCCGGATGACTTCTCCACTCTTTAGATATTTTATTCATTCACATTTATGGAGCCCCTAATACACAGCAGTTACTGTATGAGGAGAACAGACTTGAAAGACCCAGGCTTACCCTCAAGGAGTTCACAGGCTCCTGATGGAGTTTGATGAATAAGCAGGCTATTTTATTACAGACTATTTTCTCATCTTTAAAAACATCTCTCTCACAGGGCTATTAGGATTAAATACGATAAAGTAGGGATGAAAAGCAGCATAGTTCTGGGTTCAGCACAGGCCCTCTTCCCGGAACTTCTGCTAGGGATGACTTAAGAAGCCCTGAACCAGTAATGTCAGAGGTTCAGGACCAAGTCAGTCTCGCAGCTGATTCAGCTGAGGCTTGGTGCTCAACCATAAGAACTGGCCTCCTGTCCTGTTCCTCTGACCATGCTTGAGCTTGGCCTTTGGTTTTGGTTCAAAGAGGCCCTGTCTCATTTCTACAAGACCAAGACTCAGCTCTCATCAGTCTTTGAAAGCACAATTTCTCAACCTCAACACTACTGACACCTTGGACAGTAGAATCCGTTCTGGTGGGAGGCCGCCCTGTGTCCTGCTGGATGTTTAGCATCTACCCACTAGGTCCCGGAAGCTCCCCCAAGTTGTGACAAGCAGAATGTCTCCAGATATTGCCAGATGTCCTTGGCGGGGTGAGGCGGAGCAAAGTCACTTGTGTTGAGAATAGATGGTGCATGAGCTAGCTCTCTGGACCAGAAATCCTAAACTTGTGCTTCAAGGTCCAAACACCACCCTTTATCATATTCATGAAACAGATGTGCCAACAGAAGTGTTTCATGCTCATTATACTCGGATCCTTTATTCCAGGCTTTCTCAGAGCCTCTGTTATATTCATGTACTCAGTGACTTCCTCTGATGGAGCTACTGTGACAGCCTTTCCCAAATTTATTTGACCAGGAAACGCCTTTGGAATATACTTAGGGAATACAAGTTTAAAAACAAGGTATCCAAATCAAATAATTTTGCAGCATTCCAAAAGAGCTAAAGCTTGAAAGAAATGAGAGAGATTGAACTGATTCTTAAAGCAGTCCAGAATATGGAAATTGTTTTTATTTAAATTTATGCTATTAATTTATAGCATGAGCTGAGGCCTGCCATCAGATACAGCATGCTACTGGGAAAGGGTAATAGAAATTCAGGAAAGAGATAAAATTCAAGTGGTCATTAAATCATCTATAATTTCAAAGCAGAGGAAATTTCACATCTGCTGAAGATGTTTTCTTTGAGGTAAAAAATGTGCATATGCGCTGATCGCTAGTATATTATTTTAACATCACACTGATAATTAAGCACAGATTAGAACTGAAAATTCATAGCTTCCCAGAGCACAAAGGAGCCATCTAATTCAAACACTTTGTTTTATAAATGAAAATTCTCGCAGCTGGAATGTCTTGCGTGTCCCAGATGAATAGGCTCCAATCAGTAATAGTATTTTTAAATTCCATTTACCTGAAAATTCTTCACTGCTGGACTTCCTGTAGGACCCCACAAGTAGCCTCCCACTACATGACTTATCAGGCTGGATTTGTATATTTCGGGTCAGAAGCCCAGCCTCAGCAGCCAAACGAATATTTCGGCCGTCCTCCATGACATGGACGCTTCCTGGGGCATCAGAAATTAGGGGAAGGGGGATTAAAAAATGAAAAACCTATTTCAGAATCCACGCTGGGGACCCAGCCAACCTGTCAAATGAAAACATCCCTTTCCCCCTGGAAGTCCAACCAACATTAAGGTCTGCTTTTCCTCAGGCACTCTCCACGAATGTCAGCTGAGAAATGAAAAGCCCGTTCCTATGTCTCTCTTTGGGATCAGAGTGAGAGTGTTTGAACAAGAATTCATTTCTCCTCAATAATTGTGGGTACTGGGGACAGGGAAGTCAGGGCAGACCTGTGCAGTTAGTGGGGTCCCCAACCTCCTCCCCTAAACTCATCAGGTGAGACTTCAGGCTCCGATTGTACATCGTCTGTGGACCTTTCATGAGCGGGAAGAATCCCAGATCAGCTGAGGGAGGCAGTGACAGAACTAAAGCAGCCTGTGTAGGAGGGAAGACACACAAAGAGCCTCTCCTGGTGGGTCTGACGCTCACGCTGCCTGAAGGAGCGTCTCAGCGGCTCCATTTGCATTTCACCCAGCATCCCACAGCAAGGATTGCTGAAGATGTCTCTCTGCTCGGCCACTTTTAAATCATCGTTGGAACTACAATTTCAAAATAGCTTTAGATAGAGTCCTGTTGAAAACATGTATTTCCCTTTGACCTATCAGAGAGAAAAAGATACTCCCTCACACCTCTATTTCTAATTTTGTTACTTATTAGCTATATTGCATGGGTTAAATGGATTCATTAGATGAACAAGAAAACCTACAGTTATGTGTTATTTATGTAGAATGTATTTTAACTATGTATAGTGTATAAAAATACTCAGCATATTTTTTTAAGGTATTTTTCTTCTTTCTCTCTCTCTCTCTCTCTTAGTAGTGGTCAGTACATCAAAAGGAACTTCATGTGGGGAAGGACACATGCCTAAGTATGGAAAAAGAAGTCATTACTTACAGTAACTACCATATTCTAAGTGATTGTTTGATTCAGTGTGGCAGGAAATGAACTGAAAGCTCAGCTCCTTGGAGGTTTATTCTGGTTTACCCATGAAAATGCCTAGTGACCTTGAACAAGATTCTTAACTTCTCAGCTTGCTCTAGATTAGCCATTATAAACAAAAAAAGAAAAAGTAGTCTACATCTAAGTATTCTTTATAAACTAGGCAATAAAATTAATGAAGGAATAGAAATAAAGCGTCCTAAGACGAGTCTAGGGCAGCAGTAAGGTATTATCCATCCCCTCTGAACAGCGATTGGATCCAGGTTGCTCAACACGTTCTTCCAGGCTTATTCACTTCCTTTAACCAACAAACCTAAACCTTACCAATGTGTCGGTGCCTGAGCCGTTCATGGATCATGACATGGTGCGCCTTGACTTCTTTCACAGTGAGGACTTCCACTTCGTGAGGCTCGTAAGAAGAGGAGCTAAGGACGATTTTGTCATGGGGTCGCCAGTCCACGGTGTCCTCCAATATAATTCTGTAACAGCAGGAAGCTGGTATGAGTGCAGGCAGAGCAACATAGATCACCTACTACAAGTGCAGAAAGAAAAGAAAATTCACTACACTGACAGTTCCTCCTAGGGAGATTGAAGACAGAAAAAAAAAGAAAAAGCTTTTGCAAAAACCGTAATGGTCATGGAGTCAATATTCTGGCCTATGTACACAGATTACAAGGATAATAAAGACAGCCTGTGGCCAAGAAATTCACAAAAAGGAACAAGAAAGAGTAAAGTTCCATGTAATATATGCCATCTAGACATGGTTTACTAAAAAAGAAATCATCCTCTTTGATTGGGAAACAGTTTGAATAATAAAGGTATATTAGAAGGGATGTTTTCTCAAATTTTCCGAAGACCTATAATGCCATTTTTGGACAATTTATCATCATGCATTAAGGCTCCTGTCTTCATGATCAGACAGAAGCAGTGGGAATTCTACAGGGGCCACTTAGTAGCTATGTAACCTTGGGCCTCTTAACTTTTCTGAGTTTCCTACCTTCATCTGAAAAGTAGCAATATTTAAAGCTTCCCTCCAACATCTGAGTGTGATAGTCGGACTAAACAACTGTATACATTCCCCGAGGGTGCTACGTTCCAAGCACTGTCCTTTCATCACGGTATGAAACACTGAGGGTTTTGTTCACTTTTGTTTTTTTAACTCGCACTTAATGAAACTTTTGTTCAGTGTTTCACTGCCGCCTAGCTTTTCCTAGTGAATATGTCTGCTTTATTCTCCATTACCAGCTTCAGTGACTTAAGTTTATTTTAATGGCCTGCCTCTTTTCTAATGTTCAATTTTTAGCAAGCTTTGACAATAGATTCTCTTCTGCCAGTAAATGTTCATCCAAACAACAGGTCCATGTGAAGGCCATTTGATCATGTGACATAGATCGATGGAACAATTGATATGCATGCATCAGACACTATAGTAGGTGCTAGAGATACAATGGTAAATAAAATATGTCATCTGCATTAAATAATGACAACTTAGATTTTGACTAGTAAACATCCTTAAAGAGTCTATTGCATGGATGAGGGATCCTCAGATGTTTAATATATGTATAATATTAACAACAATAAAAGAAACATAAATTAAAGGGAATCATTCCTGGGCCAATGGTATGAGTCTGTTATGAACCAGATTGTAATTAATTCAAATCTGGGAATCTGCAGGTAGAGAAAAAGTCACAGAGAGAGAAAGACTATTACCAACTGATATAATTTTAATGAAAGAATTTAATCTTACCTCTGTTCCTTATTTGATATGACATCCTGAAAAACTCAGTATAGTATATTGAAGCAATCACTAGCTTTAAAGTTGGGGAAACTAAGATCCAAGAAGTCAAATTACAAAATTTAAGACTAGGTAATGGACTGGAGCCAGAAGTTGAATTAGGACAAGGAAGACTCCAGATCAAGTCCACGTTCTCTCCATTAAGTAAACTTGCCTTACCAGTCTGATTCTTAGTTCTTCACCAACTAAATGGTAGTAAAAAGCAATATGCCCATGTATTATAATACTATCATGATAATCCATGAAATTATGAAAGGTCTATGACCCATACAGTAAAATGCTAGGTAACCATTAAAAACATGCCATTGTAGCACAGCATGAATTACAAGGAATTCTTTTCATGATGTATTGATTGAAAAAATGCAGGATATAAAACAGTATTACCCTTTTTTTTAATAAAAATAATGCATGTACAGGAAATAGAAGAGAGGGAAGAGTCACATTAAAATGTTAGCCCACCTGTGGATGCTGGGTTTATTAATGATTGTCACTTAAATATAAACTTTCTAAATTAATAAGTAGTATATTATAGTGAGAAAAAAATTGTTTTTGTAAAAGAAAATAAGGCTATGGGCATGAGATCACACAAAAGTCAATTAGCAGCATACTTGAAACTACTGGTCCTTTCCTTCATAGTCCATATAACCTGGGTAATCTTTTTATTACTGTTTATGTTGTTGAATAAAGTTCTTCAGATAATAGGTGACCATAATGTTCTGAAAAGCTCCTTGTGAAATGAGTCAAAACTCATTTCTTGTGGAGCCCAGGGGGTTTTTAGGACAATTAAACTATTCTGTATGATACAGTACGGATGGATACATGTCATTATATGCTTGTCAGATCCATACAATGCTCACATTGTGGACCCTAATGTAAACTATAACAAATAAAACCTCTCTCCCTAACTCGCTTATGTAAGTCCTCTGTCCCAGCCGTGTGAATCTGCTCATTCTCCCAAGAAACAGCCATGTGTTTCTCACCTGTCGCTTGAAACATCCTTGCTCGTACTCTGCCCTTCAGCCCACACATTCTTAAAGACCGACTGGAGTTTGTTTGCCTTTAACAGGCCTTCCCATGGGAGTCTCTTCTCCGCTGACCCGCCAACCCCATTTCTCTTCCATTCTAAATTTGACACAATAGATAATACTGCCTTATAACTGATTCTGAACTTTTGTCTTCTGTGGCTATTCAAATTTGATATTGTTAGCTAATATTTAATGAAAATATAACTACCTAGCTATGCAAGCCCCATAGCACCTAGCTGCATTCTAGGCAAAGAGAAAAAGGAGTTAGTGAAATTATTAGTCCACATTTTATGTTAAAAACATACAGGGGTTAATTATTCTTCGGCAAAGGGGGCAAGAACAAACAATGGGGGGAAATGACAGTCTCTTCAATAAATAAATGGTGTTGGGAAAACTGGACAAATACATGCAAAAGAATGAACTGGACAACTTTCTTACACCACATATAAAAGGAAGCTCAAAAAGGATTAAATACTTAAATGTAAGACTGGAAATAATAAAACTCCTAGAAGAAAACATAGGCAGTAAACTTTAAAATCAGACTTAGCAATATATTTTTGGATCTGTCTCCCTAGGCAAAGACAACAAAAGCAAAAATAAACAAATGGGACTACATCAAACTAAAAAGCTTTCATACAGTGAAGGAGACCATAAATAAAACAAATGAAAGATGATCTTTGTAAATGACATATATGATAAGGGGTTAATATCCAAAATATATAAAGAACTCACACAACTCAATATAAAAAAAAATCCAATTAAAAAATAGGCAGAGGTTCTGAATAGACATTTCTCCCAAGAGGACATACAAATGACCAACAGGTGCATGAAAAGCTGTTCAACATTACTAATCATCAGGAAAATGCAAATCCGTACAAGACATCACCTCACACCCTTCGAAAAGACAGGAAATCATAAGGGTTGGCGAGGCTGTGGAGAAAAGGAAACTGTCCTACACTGTGGGTGGAAATGTAAAATGGTGCAGCCACTATGGAAAACAGTATGGGGGTTCCTCACAAAATTTAAAGTAGAAATACCATATGATTGGGCAATTTCATTTCTGGGTGTTTATCTGAAGAAAATGTAAACACCAATTCAATAAGATAAATGCATATATGCACCTCTATGTTCATTACAGCATTAGTTACAATAGCCAAGACATGGAAGCAACCTAAGTGTCCATAGATAGATGAATGGACAAGATGTGAGATAAATTTATATAATATTTGTAAAACAGAATATTAGTCATAAAAAAATGAACTTGTCATTGTGACAATATGGATGGACCTAGAGAGTATTATGCCTAAGTAAAGTAAGTCAGACAGAAAAAGACAAATACCATATGATCTCATTTATATGTGGAATCTTAAAAAACAAAACAAGCAAACAAAACAAAATAGAAACAGACTCATAGATACCAGAGAATAACTTGGTGGTTGCTAGAGGGGAAGGTGGTAGGGGATGGGAGAAGTAGAAAGGGACAAAAAAATACAAATTTCCAGTTGCAAAAAAAAGATCAGACACAGGGATGCAATGGACAGCATAGGGAATATAGTTAATAATATCCTAACAACTTTATATGGCAACAGATAGTAGCTAGATTTATTGTGGCAATCACTTTGTAATGTATATAAATGTTGAATCACTATGTTGTATACCTGATACTAAGATAATATTATATGTCAACCACATTTCAATAAAAAAATATGTACATGAACTTAAGGTGACCTTTTCCGTTACAGCTTTCAAAACCTTACAGGTTCATGAAAATTTCTCTCTCCTCTATACTCCTGAAGCCTTGGGATTCTATATCTCATAAGGACCACATACAAGTGAATTGGCCCTACTCACTTCTATGTCCATGCAGCAACAGTGGTAGCTTCAAAGGAAATTATGGTCTCAGTATCACTAACCTAGATGGTTCTGCTAGTCAAATAACAGTTTTCCTTAAATTCTAACATCTGTGCTTCCCACACTTTGGATACCCTTCAACCATTTCAAGAAATCCTAGCTTAAGCATGGCTTGGGTCTCAGCTATATTCCATGTGTCTGATTAATACTAATAAGAATCCTATGGCTACAGGGGAGAGGAGAGACTTCTTGTTCTGAGCAAAACACACCTAAAACAATAAATTAATAAATAAAATTAAGAAAGCTGTTTGCAACATAACTGAGCCTAAATAGAAACCATATGATGAGAGAGAGGAAACTGAATAATATCTACCAAAGTCTCCTAAAAGATAATTTTTTAAAAAATATAAACAAAACACCAGCACAGTTTCCTTTGTTTTGGCATTAACATTCTATCCAGTTTAGAGAAAATATAATACTTTGGGTCAAAAGAACATAATTGCCAAGAAAAAAAATATGTTTCCAAATTTAATTTTAAAAGTTTTCACAACCATGCACAAGACATTCATATATAAACTCCTACAACTTAAATGAATTTGCTAACTAAACACTGGGGAGCTCTTAACGATAATAGCTGCATTTGACAAGTTCAGTGTGTCCAGATGCCAAAATGTTTTCTTCTAAGGAACAGGGATGGACATAAGCTTCTGAACTCAGTTACTAACACTGAAGCTTTTAAAAAAAAAAAACCAAGTTATTTATTATTTTTTTAATTAGTGCCATTGAAATGTACAGAGGATCCTCAGAC